GGAGCAGCGGATGGATACCAAAACTCTCTTTGGTGTGCCTGCACCCCAGACTGCGCAGTGCCTGCCCCCCTCCTGCCACTCCCCCTCCTTCCTAGACGCTAATGGGAGGGGGTGTCACGACTGCAGACTGCGGTTTGGGGGGGACGGACATGTGACTTCACTACAGACCGACTAGGGGCCTCAGGGATGGCTCTTCCATGTTTTTCCTTTACAGCTTTAGGAGCCATGACGGGGAGAAGAGCACTCTTGTTGCTTATGGAACTGAGGTGGGGTCTTCCTTTAAAGGCCTTACCACTCCCCTTCCAAAGGAAGATTGACCTAGACCCTTAGCCCTAAGAGACGTACCGCTGCTCTGCACCAACAATTACTCTTTCTGCCACACTAGTAATAGCTCACTCCATATGGGAATTCACTTGGCCATTGGGTCGTCCCCACAGCTGTCCAAGGCAGGTCTCCCAGGGAACCACACACTCCTATCCCTGGTGCCCCAGCACAAAGTTTCAGGCACCAGGTAGAACCTGTCTTGGATCCTTGCACACTGTTCTGTTTTCTTCTCTTGCCAGTCACGTCCAAGCCTTTGTGATATTTGGCACTGTGGAAATTTGGTGGTGATTTGAACCAGCTTGGCCATAACCATCTCTTTCTTAGGGGAAGGAGCCAATGTGCTCCCACTTCCTTAAGACATATACTAGGCTGTTTCTGAATGCTCTCATTTTACCCCCACATCCTTCCTGTATTCTGGATCCTGTCTTTTCTCTGCTTGCTGCATGGGACAAACACAGCAATGGGGTTAAGCATACACGTGGTGCTGTTTCTGCTGACCACGTTAAAATCTATTGAAATGTCTCTTTTTCGTGTTTGACAGAATAATGGCCCTGGAAGGATGCCTGCACCTTATACTCCACAATATGTAAACATATTATGTTACCTGGGGAAGGAGAATTAAGTTTGATAACTGGTTGAATTTATAAAATATGCTGGATTATCCTGGCAAAAGTAGTCCAATGGCTTTTTACATGGGGCAGGGGGAGGCAGAAGAGTCAGTGTCCAAGGCAAGTAGCATGAGAAAGACTAGACAGGACACTGTTGGCTTGCAACATGGAAGGCGGCCAGGAGCCTAGGAATGCAGGCTCTCTCCAGAAGCTGGAAAAGAAGCAGATTCTTCTCTGGAAACTGCAGAAGGAAATCAGCTCTGCCTACAGCTTGGTTTTATTGTAATGATACTTTATTTGTATTTTCAAACATCAAGACTGTAGGATAATAAATCTGTGTTATCTGAAGTCACCACAATTGTAATAGAGTTGCCCCTCTACATGTATGGTTTCTTCATCTGTGGATTCAACCTAACCCAAATGGAAAATATTTGAAAAAAGTGCACCTGTACTGAACCCATAGTGACATTTTTCTTCTTGTCATCATACCCCAAAGAAGACAGTATAACACATTTACATAGCATTTGCATTGTATTAGGTATTCTAAATAATCTAGATGAAATTTAAATTATACAGGAGGTAGTGCATAAATTATAAGCAAATATTATGTCATTTTTTAAAATAAGGGATTTTAGCATCTGTAGAATTTTCTATCTGTAGTGGTTCTAGAACCAAACTCCTGAGGACACCAAAGTAGGACTGTCATTTGTTATAGTAGCAGTTGGAACTAAGTACTTTCATCATCAGGAAAGGATATGTCACCTTTTTTTAAATGTATTTCTGTCTCTGGGTCAATGTATTTTCGGATCATGTTTCATCACCATCACCATCCATTCCACCAATCCCCTTCTCTCCTTTTCTTGAAAGAGTTGTATAATGATCCTTGAAGTTTATCTTGTAGAATGCCCATTTTTGTTGAAAACTACTCA